ATGGGGTCCAGCCGAGACCCCCGGGCACTCATCGGCTCCAGCGCTGGGAGCACCGGATTATCTCGAGTCAGGTCAGCAGGCCTGTGGCAGGATGCTGTCATCCTATTTACAGAGACAGCATCCCCCAGTAGGAGGGGAAACTGAGGAAAGAGATGGCAGGGCTCTCTCGTTAACAGTGGCATGCCTCTAATTAGAAGCAAGCTCACCAGCTGGCCCACCCCTTTCGGAAAAAGGCACGTCACCGTGATGCCAAGACGCCCCTGAAAGGAGCCACGGACGCATCCCGTCCTCCCTGCCGGAGCTGGCCAAGAGGTGGAAAGGCTTCGTGGACACGGTACATCTCTCTGTGACAAAAAGAAACTGCCTCATATTGTAATGAGTTGCTTTAATTCAGAAATGCAGCAGGATGCATAGAAAGGCCCCCTACCCCGCAATACAAAAAAATGCTGAAAACTGCCTGATTTGCCAACTCAATGCCTGGATCTTCTAATACCACGGGAGGGGGCTCATTATAACTCCCTTTCTATCTATTTTCGGGCACGGCCAGTCCTGCAAGGGTGACACGGGAAATGCGTGCCACAAACACCTTGCCCAACACGAGGGAGGGTTGCCTAGCTTTTGACAAGGGAAAAGCCTTCTTGCTCCATGAAAGGCACAGCTCCTAAGACAAGGCATGAACAAACTGGAAGCAAAAGCTCCCGAGAACTTTATTTATTATCGCTCGAGCCCAGAAACTGAAGAAATACCCTGGGGAAGGGAGGGGGCACTTGCACTGATGTGGACTTCCCCCACAAAATATATGCATTTTCAGATGTTGTCACCTCAAGGAAAGGAAAGCAGAGAAGAGGCTGAAGTCAAAGAAAGCAAATGTTTTATTCTGTATAAACCCCTCCGAGGTCAGGCCACAGCTCCCCATCCCAGCGCCGGCTCTAGCTTTGTCTCTCACGTCATCGCGCCTTTGCTCCGGCCTCGCCGCGTGCTCCAGACAGGAGGGAGCCACACAAGCCACATCCGCATCTCCCCCTGCAAATACCTGCAAAATGATAAAAGCTTCAAATAAGGACTCGGCTCCTGGAAACGACAAAATCAGAGAGAAAGGGATGAACAGTGCAGGGACGTGCCCATAACGTGGCACTTTAGGGCTCCGGCTGCTCCTCCGCAGGTGTTTCTGCCAGCTCCCGCGCTCGCGGGACCCCGGGTCTCGCTCACCCTTTGATAAGTGCCGGAGCCGTCGTTGCACCATGCAGCAGCTGGCCAGATGCATGGCTGGTGCAGGCAGCAGCCTCCTTCTTGCCCGGGTTTGCCAGCCTCATGCTAACCCTGCTCTCAAAACCTTTCCCTTGATCCAGTTCTTAGCAGCCCTCCCTTAGCTAATCATGCCCCAAGGCCTGGATTCCCCTGCCCGCTGCAGCTCCTACCAGCGGTCCTGGACTTCAAATAAACCAGGTCAGATATCCTCCAAGCGCCTGCACTGTGAGCTGGCCTCTCTGCCTGGCCTTCCTGTAGCCTTCCAACCCCCCAGTCTTGCAATTTTACCACGAGAGTGCTCCTGGTGTTGGTTTCTTTAATTTTTTTTTTAAGCACCAGCTCCTGGAGTCAGGTGAGAGAATCTCAGCTTTCAATTATGGAGCTTGGAGCCTTCTCGGTTAGGGAAGAAAAGACTGAAACCATGAACGCGCCTTTCCCTGGAGCAACATCCAGCCAAGCAACCCAGAAGACGCTACACGAAAACCCCACGGGATTGTTCAAAGGTCTCTCATGAGACTCGTTCTTGCTGAACACGTGGGGCTGGCCGTAGGGGGGACCCCTCACCGGGCAATCAGCAGTTCCTCCATTTCCACGAATAGGTGTCCTCCCGCTCTCCGGTCCAGGACAGCGACAGGGTTTCTTGGCTGGTTGCTGTTCCTGGCTTTTATAGCTTACAGCGGCCGCTTACGACAGCTTATGAAAATAAAGGCTGGGGAAAAGTGGGACATTTCATTATGCAAATGCCGCTTCCCATAAAGAAATGTTTTATTAACACATCCTCCTCTCTTGTGTTGGCTTCGTCAATTTGGTCACAGCTTGACATCCAATAAGTTCGTTTAAAGGCTGTGTTTTTACATAACGTTTGCTAATCTATTTTAAACACTTAATTACGGTTACGGCACATTCATTAGGGAGCTTGCTTGCAAACCTGGATGCTGGTAATAAATCCTCATTCTCCAAGTGTCAGATGCGATACGAGAGTTGGATCCAACTGGGTGCTGGAGCCGTACGCTAGAAACGGACTGGCGAGAAGCAGCCCGACCTCTCCGGAGGGGCTGATACTGGGCCAGGTCCTGCTGAGGCCTGATGCAGCCCTTGCTGCTCCCTCCCTACACCCCAGAAGGGCCAGGCCAGGGCAGAGCCGTGGCCGAGGCTGCTCCACGGTGGGGCAGGATGCTCTGCACCCAGCCCTGTGGCACATGGAGCCTCCGGTCTGCTTCCGGCTGGAAAACACGGGGCACCGAGAGCTCAGAAATAGCTAGCTGTAACGTTCAAAAGAAAGCCAAGCAAAAGAAGCAGGTTCGGGTCACGGCGCTCGGCTTAAAGGCAGACCTGCAACCAAAAGCCTGGGTTAGGGGCAGCGGCGACACCTCTCCGGGGTTAGTAGGGCAGCACATTTACCTTAGTCTTTTCCTAGATATTTCATCATAATACTATTTATATCGTCCTCTTTCCCTTCGGCTTCCAAGCACTTGTCTTCTCCAGCGCCGTGGAGGGCTGCTTTCCCAGCACACCCGTCGCCTTCTGCTCTTTGACTCCTCGGCCGACTCTTGACACTGTCAGCACTCTTGCAGGACATAATCGAGCTTGAGGAGTCGGAGTCGGAGAGGTTTCCGGGGACCTCTTTGGGGTTTGGACTTTGCCTCAAAACGGTCTTTAGCTCGGAGGGGGCAGCACTGCCAGCTATCAGCTGGTCTTCGAAATGCACGCTCAGTGGCCTCGGGCTGTCTTTCCTGTCCCTAACTGGCCTGGAGAGGCTGCTCGGCGCCTGGCACTTTGGAACAGCTGGCAGGAAATCGTCAAAATCCACGTTCGTTTTCCTCTCATAGTTGAGAGTCGGGATTTTCCAGGCGAATGGATCTCTCTCCTTCCCTTCCTCCAGGGCATCGCCGAATCGCCTGCTCTGAAATACCAGGGGATCTTTCCCCAGATCGGCATCGCTTGCTTCTTCTAACGAGGGCTCCAGGCGGCTTCTCCACGGCTTAATCCTCGCCGCGCCGAGCGCGTCTGCTCCTGCTGTCGGCGCGCTCAGCGGCAGGCAGGAACGATCGACATCCTGTAAGAGCGAGTCGTAGGAGCCAAACTTAGACGCTCTTCGCAGAGCGGGAGAGCGCGCGGGCTCCGGGATCTCCAAGGCCACACACTTCAAGCTGGATGAACGCACGAGGCCGCCTCTTCCATCCCCATCTTCACGTCCTGCAAGTTCGTCCACCCCAAGCTTTATGGGGAAATCCACCTCCTCTTTGAACGTCCGGCACCTTCTCAGGGAGGACGCGCCCGTCGTTTGGTAGATTGGCAGGGGCGAGGCGTCTCCCAGCCCCAACGTCCCCTCTTTCTCCATGGCCCTTTTCCTCCGCAGCTCCTCTACGTATTCAGAAAGGGCAGAGGAAGAACTTGGGAGCTTCTCTTCCTCCGCAGGAGACATCCTCCTCCTCATCACGGATGGAGAAACGGCTCTGACTTTATCCACGGTTTTCATCTCCTCCTTGTCCATGGGGGATTTCCCATACTCCAACCTCCGGACACCCAGTAAAGGACTTGCGCTCTTTCCAAAGTCGGCCTCAGCGCCAGCTCTTCCATATTGCCCTCTTCGAGCACTGAGTGAAGACGCCGGCCGGGTGGGTTCCTGGTCCGTGACATCTCTGTTCATCCTACACAACAGAGCAGAGCCGTTAGCACGTGTTAGTTCGAGTTATCTGACTTGCTCTTACTGCAGCATCCTTCAGCCAGCCCCCATCCTGCCGTCCCCAAACACGCACTTACGTGCCAAGTCTCAGCTGAACTATAAACATCAAGCAGAAACTGCTTCTTGCATGTCAGTTAATTCCAGCCCTTTCATTAGATTAAACTTTTTTTTTTCATGGTAACTGAACTTAGTTTGAATGGCTCCAAATAAACTAGAGCAGCCAGAACATATGACTTATGGGGCCATGCACATCACATGATCTGCCCTTAAATCTGTCATGCCAAGAGGTACCTCAACACATCTATTTTTTCCCTGACAAATTACAGCAACATGTGCCGGTTACTTTTAGTTCTGCCAGCCCCCGGAGAGCACGCTCTGAATCTTTATGAAGCCATTTACCCAGCACCCCCCCATGCATGTCAGTGTTACGGCACAGTAGGTTTCACGGGTGCTCCCTTTGAGGAGGGATGGTCATTATGAACGGCAGAAGCAAAATAAAGGCCTGGCCGTGGGCTGGATCTGAGCAGCACACAAAAAAAGGGACGCACGACCTCTGTTTGGGGTTTGCTTCTGCCAGAGCAGGTTTGCCTTGGGAAAGCAGAGCACCAAGCACCTGTCCCCAGGACACGGCAGGCTTGCTGCGATGCAAAATCAGACCCAAACGGGGGCATGAAGCATGCAGTGCTCATTAGCCTTTGCTTCATTGAGTCTCCTCTCCTTGCCTTTTACAGAAGGGCCAGCTGCGGGGAGCCCCTTCAGTAGAAAGGGGCAACTCTGGCAGGAGGCCTGAGGTGGGATGGGGGACTAGGAAGCCTCCTGCCTGTGACCACACCTGCTAGGTTTAATTGAAGGAGCAGCGAAGGAGTTTTCACTGCCGTCCTCCCAACGTGCAGCAAAAGGGCTATGGTGCATCTTGCGGAGACCTGGCCATCTTTCGAGCACGTGCATCATCCCCGGGTAAAGACCAGCATTCCCATGACATCTCATTGCAGGGCATTAAGGTCAGCCACCTGAGACGGCAGATAAGGCAATAATAATGTGTCGCATCCCTCCCTCCTGAGAAGGGCCAGCAGCACAGCCATGGAGATGCCCCGTGCCCGTGTTAGGACTGGCAGGGTGCTAGACACTCCTACAGAAGCTGCTGGAGAAAGCAAGACATGATGCTGACAGCCAGGCTAGCTCTTCATAGATGTTAGGGGCTGGAAGGGACCTTACAGATCACCGGCTCCAGCCCCCCTGCCCTGGAGCACCGGCTGGGACAGTTGCTCCACCTCATGCAAACCCCATGAGACCTGTGCACGGCATCAGGTCTGCACTGGAGAGGACGCCACGCAACGGGCCAGGAGATCGAAGAGCGCTGCTTCTGTATGCATGGCCCCCATGACCACAACCCCAGACTGTGGCACCAGTTACGGCTGCGAGCCCGTATTTCATGCCATCAAAACCCATCTTGGATGCATAAGCCTTTGCCTTAGCAGAGCTGTCGCGCTCCGCCAGCAGCGTCTCTGAGCCTGCGCTGCTGGGCAAAGGCCCTGGCTGTGAGAACGAAGGTTTCTCCCTCCTTCCTCCCTTGTCTGTGGCACAGCGACTAGAAAAATTGATTGCAATCACTGTTAGCCTTTGTGACGCTAATCCCTCAGTGCAATTCGTCAAGAAAATTGCGTGCATTCATTTAAAGGGCTGAAACACCTTTCCCCCTTGTTTAATTAAAAAAAAAAAATAACTGCGGGGGGGGAGTTTGTCATGCCGTATATAAGAACCAAACCAGGCCTTTTGCGGAGTTGTAGAGTTAAATTAAATACCATGAAGAGCAACACAATACCATGCCATTACCTATAGGCTACGCTCCCTCAGCTTCTTGCTCCGAAATGAGGAGCATGGGAGCTTACGAGTAATATTTTTTTTCAACCTTTCAAACCCGGAGACACGGCTGTAAAATGACCCTGGCACTCGTTAGCACGCAAGTATTTTGTTCTATGTTGCAGCTGGCAGAGAGCATCAATTAGGGCCTATCATTTTTTCTTCAGTGAAGGGGGGGGGTTAAAAAAAGGTTCCTTGGTGTTTGAAGGTGTCTAACAACAAAAACCGATGGGAAAAGAAATGTGCGGAGCAGAGATTAAACCAGACGTCCCTAACTACTCCTCAGGTACCGTGGCAGGGCTGCTGCGCTCCGAGGCAGCTCTCGAGTTTTACGTTGACAAGAATAAACCATCCCGGCCCGGGAACCGCGCGGGTTGCCATGGGAACGTTACGATGGTGCATCATCTCAAAGACAATACGGGGCAAACGGAGACCTGCCTCCGCCGACCTGCGAAGTCATTTCCATGCCGAGACCAGTCGATAGCAAACCCAGCGGCTGGGAAATGGGAGCAATTGAAGGAGTTACCAAATCACCGGGCGTTTAAAATGGTTTTCCCTCCGCCGCACCGCCTCCGCGCCCCTGGCCTGGCAGCGGTGAGCAAAGCCTCGCGGCGGAGAGGACCGACTGGCCTGCAGCACGCGCCGAGGTAGCAGGAGCCTGGGCAGACGGGGAAGGGAAGGCAGGGGAGATGTTGCAGGCAGCCCCTTTTTCCGAGGCACGCACCTGCCCGCAGGTGGGTCGGGGGCTGCCGAGCTCCCTGCACCTCTGCCGGGCTCGTGAATACCTCCTGGCCCTGCGGGAACGCCATCGGGGTCCCCAGGAAGTCAGTGAGCTTGGAGGAGCCTTCCTGATGGGGGACCCTGTGGAGAGGGCACAAATAAAGAGCATCGCGTTGTCCGTCGGGATGGTCTCACACTGCCGGACTCTCCCACGCAGAATGAAGTAGCCCTTCATAAGTTTACTAGACTAGAAGAAAATGCAGGGAAAGATCATGGACTCAGGGACAAGGAGGGCTGGAAGGGAGCTCACATCTAGTCCAACCCCTGCTCCAAGCAGGACCAGCCCAAACTGCATCATCCCAGCCAGGGCTTTGTCTACCCGGGTCTGCAAAACCTCCAAGGATGGAGACTGCACCACCGCTCTGGATAACCAGTTCCAGTGCTTCTGGTAAAAAAGTTTGTCCTAATATCCAACCTAAACCTCCCTTGCTGCAACTGGAGCCCATAACGTGCCGAACATACTGATGGTTTTGGTCCCCACTCTGACACATGAGCAGTGATGAATGGTTCGAGGCAGGATTTTGTGCCAGGCTTCAGCATCCAAAATTGTACCTTACCTAAGTGAGTGGTGTAATCCTTCCAAGACAATTCAGTGCCTTCCATTTCTACATTTCCAAGCAAATTTGTAAACTGCTGACCCGCCGGATTTCACAAATTAAACAGCCAGCTTCAATACCCCTTCACTTCTCAATGCCGAGATAAAAATGTACTAAAGAAGCAAGAAACGCTAATAGCATGTGAGCACAATCTGATATTTATTGCACCAGCCAACATGACGGACATGCTGCGGCTTATGAAAAACGTCTGGAACATGAAAATCACCGAGAACAACAAAACGCGGGAGGTTTGGTGTTTGCAATAATTACAGCACTCAGTCGATGGGAGCCCTCTCACCCTTGCCCAAAGAGCTGGTTGACGGTCCTTTCTAGCTGGCCCACGTGCCTATGCATCTGCTGCTTTCAGCTATTTTCCACCAGCCAAAATAATCACGTCCAAGCTGCGGACAGTGCAATTATCAATCTCTCCCCCTTGTTCCTATTACCCGGTACCTGCTGCGAAAACCCTACAGCTCTCCGCAGGAAGGTCTTAGTGTCTGACAGATTAAGGAAACCAGGCTTTCATGCTTATTGCTCCACTAAGCCTAACAGCCAAAACCTTTAAAGGACAAGCATTTGTGTTTTCCAGGCCAAGTTACCTGAAGTTTCTGCTTAAGCCGGCTAAGGGTCAGTGATGCCGGACGCCTTTCTGCAGGGCGGAGAGGTGATGGCGACGGCACAGAGCTCTGCGGCCAGCTCGGCGGGGAAATGTTTGCCTTACTGAGGTTAGGGGGTGGCAGAAACACAGCGCGCGTAGCCCAGGACCGAAGGGATGGAGGGAGAGGGAACGGATGCAGACATCGCAGGACAAAGCTGCGCTAGCCCTGGCTTGGCCGTGCTGCAGAGCAAACTTTCCACCCCGAGCTCGGTGCAAATGGAAAAAGAGAGCCTGTACCAGGGTGGGTGTCACCCCTGCTCATGCTAAATCCCCCTAAATAAGTCTCCCCAAGTGGGGTGAAAGCACGCTTGGGTCCCAGGTCCGGATGCGATTTCACTCTGAATTTGTCGGAGCTGCAGCCTGCGGAAAGCTTTGCAGAGCTCTGGCCTGGCAGACACCAGCTCCAGGTCTGCCCTCCGCCTCCAAGCTTGCTGCCGAAGTCTGGGCACGAGCGCCGGGACAGCCGAGGGCGAGCAGGGCAGGATTTCCCTATCCCGGCCTTGTTAGCAGCAGCTTTTCTTGCCACGTCTCCCTTGTGCAGCGCAGACACCCTCTGCGTCCTGCCCGCTTGGCCCCAGCCCGCCCCGCAGCCAGCGCAGGGTTGCGAGGAGCTCGCTCTGACGGAGAAGCTGCAGCTGGGACTGGCATCTCAATTGTCTCTTCTCTGCGAAGGGCGCGGGGGAGGACTGTCCGCCTGTATCGCAGTGTCTGGTGGTCGGGTACTGCTGCCTTAAGCCCGCTTGACCAAACAGGAGGAATGGGCAGCCCCTGCCAGTCCTTGACCTTAATCACTGCAAACAAATGGTTGTTTTCCAGGCCCCCGTGCAGAAACGGCATTATAGGTGGAGGGAAGCTCTGTCCAGGGGTGCACGGCACCCAGGAGTTAGCATCATTCGCTGCGTCCCTGCAGAGCCCACGCTCCTGACACGCCGCAAGGAGCCGACCTCCGTCTCAGCTCGAGGAGAGGAGCCCGGCCTTTCGAGAGCGAACAGCCCACGAGCCCCCGTTCGTCCGCAGCTTTATTGGGACGTGTCTGCAGTTCGAAAGCGCGTGCATCGCACGCTGGCATGG